CTGTATTTAATTTTTTCACTTTACTTCATGGGTGACCAAAGCCCTGATCTGAAAGGAGAGAAAACATGGTACCACAAAATCATGAGATATGTGGAGGACAAAGGCTACAGTAGCCCCATATTTCTTGTACTGAGTAGGAAACTAAGACCAGTTTCACTGCTCATTTCCATTCAGTTTTGCTATTGGATCTCCCCCAGCACAAATAATTGGTAAGTGAGATGATACTGAACCTTCACTGTAAACACGGGACAAAAAAGATCAAGCCCTTGTCACCTTCTGGAGGGCTCTGTGACAATAACAGATGACTTGTGTTTGGCTAGACTCTCTGGAACTTCGTGTGGCACCTTGCATTACAGCACTGACAAACACTCAGGCTGACAAAGTCACTGATCCCATCCTGGCAGGGGACCTGTGGGCACACTTACATTTAACAAGAGACCATGTTCATATTTACATGCTTGCTAACCAGAACAGCAGAACTAGGCCTGGGATGGGCAACCTAAAATGTGCTACTATTGGCACCCCTAATATTTTCTAGACCTTATTTTCATGGATCTATTTGGTGCAAAGACTTGTATTTTGAAATAAGCAGCTACCTGAGAAACATATCTATGGCTTCATATTCAAACACTAAGAAGAACTTTTTACATATTCAGCTTTAGTAGCTTTTGTTTATTAGCAAAACCTAATTTACCATAATTATGGAACATAGCCCAAAGATCTTGTAAGCAACAAACAAAGCAAAGTACTCAGATATTCTTTCAGACTGATGAATAAGAAATGAAATGAATCACATGGATGTGATACTGAAACACTCTCCATCTCTACAGAGCTCTTCACAAAATCACAGAAATCAAAGAATCCATAACAGAAGATCCAGCCTCCTACTCAGAGCTGGAGAATCATTAATACCACATCACATCACCATGGTCTTGCCTAACTGAATCTTCAAAATCTCCAAGGCTGGAGATTCCTTCACCACTTCGGATACCAATTCAAATGCTACAGTGTCCCTTGGTGAAAAAGTTTTCCCTGAAGTCCAACCAGAACCTCCCAAGCTGTGATTTACAATCTGTTACTGTTGATTTAATGGAGCTGGCATAAACTTCTGCTATTCAGAACTTGAAGGGGGATAGGGGAGAAAGAGGGAAGAGGGTAGCTGAACTGGAAGGAGCAAAAGCAAGATCAGTACATTAAAAAAAGTTGTAAAACATCCTGATAGGACAACATAAAGGGAAAGTAACATTTATTTTTTTTTAATTAATTCACAAGGTGAAAGCACTGAAGGAGCAGAGGCAGAGAAGTCTAGATCTTCTTTACAGAAAGCATCATGTAAATGCAGTACCTTCCTTTGAACTGCTGTGACCCTTAGCCATTAGTCTTTCTGTGCTGAACAACTGCATTTGAACTAGTACTGAAATGATGTTCTCATGCCTAAAGCCTACTTTCTACAGGTGTCTACAGGGCTGTTTCTTACTCCTCTCTCTCCCAGCTGCTGTTGTGCAGCAGGTTTTTCCCTTTCTTGAATTTGCTGTCACAGAAATGCAACCAATATCACACAATGGCTCAGCTTCAGCAAGCAGCAGGTCCCTTTGGAGCCAGCTGAAAATGGCCCTTATCTGACATGAGGCAGCTCCTGGACTCCTCACAGAGGCCAGTCCTGCAGCTTTCCCCCCAGCTGTGCCACATAAACCCAATACAATGGGGCAAAGGCTCAACAGGCAGACTCTTGAATAAATAGCAATGACTTGAGCTGAGCTGACCATAGCTAGCTGTGTAGTGAAATGGACTTCAGCCCTTGGTATGTACAGTTTTATTCCCACTTCCATTTTGGTTTCTGTACAGATGGACGGACTTAGTATGTGTGACAAACATCTAGCGCTCCTGGGAGATACACAAAGTGAAGTTTTGTTTATAATTCTTCCTTTGCCTTTTTTCATCAACATATCCATCACTCACTAATTTAAGGTCACAGTGGTTAGGCCTTCAGAATAAAAGGTCAGTCAGCTCAAAGGGGCTACAGATATGAAAGTTCATCAAGGAGACAAATGAACAGAAAGCTGGGTGTACAGTTTTTTTCTGTTCTTGTTTTGATTTGTTTGTTTGTTTGTTTTTTGCTGTATCATCAGAAGTGCACTAATGGACAATGTTTTCTCTCTGAGGATCTGGACAAATGAAAACCATCATATAGCAGCTCTTATGGTCTCAAGGGACAAGTAGTCAACAGTGAAGGTGATCCTACTATTTACACTATAACAGATAAAGCTATACTCACCAGCCTCACATGCTTGAATACAACTGTAGTTATAATTAGGACAGGCCAACTATGGCTTTAAAGAATATGAGATTACAGAAATCTATTAAACTCCAGCTGGAAATATCAGAGATGTAACTGTGTAAAGTTTGCATGTTATTAAACACTGATTTTATTAATTCTGGATTTTGATAGATAGAACAACCTTTAGGTGCCTGAAAAGGATAGGGTTCATGTCATCTAAGTGAGAGAGGTCACAAAGATAAGAGTCTTGATATGCACCTCTCAACACTTCTGCCACATACTAAAATCAGAAGATCAGCTTCATTGGAATCAATAATGCACATAATTCTATCTAAGAATTAAATATATATCTATATTTCAACATGCTCCAAGTTAAGGCTTTCAGTTTTACCAAGATGGGGCAACAATCTTTTTTTCACTTCCATTTCACTTTGCTTTTTTTCACTTTCTCAACTCACTACTTGCCCTGTCTGATTTTGGAAGCTGAATGATTATTCCCAGAACTGTTCCTTTCCTGGTGAACATTCTTGCTACAAATTTTCATTTCATGAGGTTTTGTTCATCTTAAACTCAAATAATAATAATAAAAATAATAATAAATTAATTTTTAAAAAGGGGGGCAGAAATTGAGGGCTATGGATTAATGGAAATGCTGTATGGTGGTGAGTATGGTGGTTTTACAAGGTAAAAATTATGACTCTACTTTTCAATTAGCTATGCATATTGAATGGACAGCAAAAGGTCACCCTGAAAATAAATTGTGAAGTCACTGGGAACAGAGATTTGTAAATGTCTTATATCAGGCCCAAATCAAAACTAGCATGGGAAATGTTGGACTAGACCAAGACTGAGTGTTGCTACTTGTTTTATGGCATTTTTTCTTTAAAGAGGAAAATCTAGGGAAAAACAGGAATTTTGAAAACTATTGCAGAGGAAGGTGAATAGGCAGAATAGTGTACTGACATTTAGACAAATAACTGAATCAAAAACATTTTTTGTACTACAGTGAGGAAGAAAACTTGAATTCTGAAAATTCAGGAGTAGGAACCTTTCTGTGTAGTCAGCTGAGTCAGTGAGGTTTGATGCTGTTGCCAGCATTAGGCAGATGTTCACATCTCTACCCAGAAACAATAATGTCTGATAGGATGAATTTTTTTTTGTGGTTCACTTTAGTCCAGGAAAGGTCTCACAAGAGTATGTTACTTGAAACAGTAGATACAAGCTTTTGTTTGCCAGTGAAACCTAAAGCCAAATTCAGAATTACAGCAATTGAACTGGTAAGTAATACTGTTACCATTGTAGAAAATAGGTAAGATGTCACAACTTTGCAGTGCTGTAATTAGCATTATATTTAGATGGAGGACTTGGCTGTCTATACTTGTTTTATGTGAGACCTGGCAGTGGTTACATGTGGATATTGTTGAAATACCTTGTCTAAGGCAGCCTGAATGGTTGGCCATGTCAGTGTCTTTAGCACTGTATGTGCAGTATCCCAGAGACACAGTATGTGTGTGTCTCTGGGATAAATGCCTAACTTCGTTACTGGTCACTTTTTAAGAGCAGTCTCTTAGGAATGAAGGAATAGGCAATTTTCATGTGTCAGAAGTCAAGCAAGTGAGGCAGAAATTTGGCTTGTGATTTCAACTGTGATTTCAAAATAATACATCATCTCATATCAAGATAAAAAAGGTTTAAAAATCCTCAGGTTTTCCTATTGTGGTCAACCAATCAATTCAAATTTATCAGAAATTTGCATTTGCTTAAAAATTTGGGAGCAATAGAAGACTATAAATTGTTTGTATGATCAGTGCCTTGAGATACAATCAATTTTGTGTTTGGCCATGATGACAGCAATATCAGCATGCTCACCAAGACCTAAAGTCTGGTTGAGTGTCACAAATGGAATTATATACTTCTCTTATGGAAGAGAAGCAGCAACATCTTTATTGATATAATGCAGTGCTCTAACAAAGTTTAATCATAGAATCATAGAATCATAGAATCATAGAATCATAGAATGGCCTGGGTTGATAAGGACCTTAAAGATCATCTAGTTTCAACCTCCCTGCTCTGGGCAGGGTTGCCAACCACTAGAGCAGGCTGCCCAGAGATGCATCCAGCCTGGCCTTGAATGCCTCCAGGGATGGGGCATCCACAGCCTTTCTGGGCAACCCTTCCCGCCCTCTTAGTGAATAACTATCCCGGTGCCTCACCGCCCTCTTAGTGAATAACTGTCTCCTAATTTCCAACCTAAATCTCCCGTCTTATTTAAAACCATTCCACCTTGCCCTATCAGTACCAACACATGTAAACAGGTCTTCTCCCTCCTGTTTATAAACTCCCTTTGAGTACTGGATAGCCACAATGAGGTCTCCCCGGAGCATTCCCTTCTCCAAGCTAAACAAGCACAATTCCCTCAACCTTTCTTCGTAGGAGAGGTGCTCCAGCCCTCTGATCATCTTAGCGGCCCTCCTCTGGACCCATTCCAAGATGACGGTGACTTAACAAGATCACGTTGAGTGACATCACATTGAGTCATGCCTGAAACTAACGTTACCGACAAATGAAAACGGAAGGAAATAAAACCTTCCAGAAAACTTCAAAATTTTTTTCATGGATCTGACTGTGTGAACCATTCTCTTAATATATGGAAATCTCATCATAATTCATCATATAAGGGCAATATTAACTGTCAAAACACAAACAATATATAAAATAAAGCTATTGTTGCCTGCAATATCTTCTTTATTGGTAACAATGCAAAATGGAATAGAAAAAAAAATTTCGGAGGTCATTGTGAAGCAAGAGCATTGTAAAGAAGAATATAAAGTCAGCAGTTCTGGTTATACACTACATATGTGATTATGCATATAGCAACAGAAGCAACATGCAACATTTTCACATTACATGGTTTAGTACTTTGGAATGCTAGTTACAGGTTACGCACTACAAGATCATCTCTTATCATTGAGTTTTTTTTCATATGACTAAATACGATAGTTCTTACATTCATTGGGATCATGGGGAAGGAGAACAGTGCCACACAGGATTCAGAAATACACATCAGCAGCATAGCATAAAAGAGAGCTCTCCCATTCAGTATTTCTATGCCAAAAGGGGAAATAAAAAAAAAAAAAAAAAAAAAAAAAAAAAAAAAAAAAAAAAAAAAAAAAAAGCAGAGAGATCTAGGTCCCATCTTTCTTGCTAGGGCTACATGTACCCTTAGGACTTCAGAATTTGCTATTCATCAGTGACAATGCTTTCCAGGGAGAAGGGGACGCAGAAATGAAAGCTTGTCATCGAAATTAATTGCTCTGTAACTTGGAAGGTGTTCATGCTCTCGTGCAATGTAGCGAAAACCACCTCCATCGCTATGTTCACACAACAGCCAGACACCTCGCTGCACTTTATGAGAAGATGCCATGTCATTGTCATGCCCCCTAGCCAAATTGGTAGCTTCTCTTATCACCCTGCTCTTCCCTTGATATTGGTCATGTTCATAGATAGTGATCTGTGGATTGTGTAAATTTTCAGTAATCAACATCAGGGAAGAGATCTTGTCATTCAACTCTCTACCAACAAAGCTATGCTCTCCCTCTTCAAATACCGTTAACCGGCCTTTATAGTTGGCATGCTCATAAGCCACCCAAGGCTGTCCAATTACTTTCACTGAGGAGATACAGTCATTCCAATCTACATCTCTCAGATTGGCAACGTCTCTGGTGAGTTCTTTGGAGTACCCCTGGAAGTTGGCGTGCTCATAAATGATGATTTTCCCCATCTCAGCAGTGTTTCTGTAATTTGGAGTTGTTGCTGTAGAAGTCAGATGACAGCCTGCAGAAAAGGAAAACAGAAAACAAATACTTGTAAGAAGCCCTTCCACGAAAGACACAAGGCAATGGAGAGGAAAAAAGATGAATGGAACAATTAGAACAGTTTTAACAAGGAATGAATAAAACAGCTGTTGGACGAAACTGAGGGCATTACGTAGAAATTTGAATTTGGAAGAAAAAATTAAGAGTAAAATGAGATGTGCATCAAATCTCTCAGGTCTTGGTTAGTTGTGTAAATTGGTTTATGTATGTGTTCAAATGACATCTAAGTTTAGTATCTTATTGGAATATTCTATTCAATAATTAATTAATTCAAATATAGGACTGGTGATTTGTGTGGGGGCCTGGAGAGGGCTGTCCTAGAAAACCCTCTTGGAGACTGCCAACATTCATGCTACCCTTGGAGGAAATTGAAGTGACATAAAACTTCTCAATTCAATCGTATTGTTTGGTGCTATTAACTTTTGGCAAAATTAATAAAATAGCAAAAGCTATTCTGGCAGAAATTGATCAAACCTTCCTATCTATAATGGGAGCTATTTACATCTCGTTATTTCACAGAGGGCTGAATGGGCCACAGCATAGGAGAGAGAGAGGGAGACAGAGAAAGATGGTAAAGGAAAGGTCCAGATTACCACCCTGGGTTCCAGCGATGTCTCTGGTCCAGTTGCTGTTCTGTCTGCAATGGTGATGGGTTCACACAAAGCCCTTCTGATTCGCACTATTTATACTCTGGACCCAATTCCAGTTCTCACTTTGTATCCAAATTACAGCTAGTCCCCACCTCCAGTTCCTGCTTTGTATGGTAATATGTGCATCCTGTGACCCAGAACCTTCTCTAGGGGAAGGAGGAATTGGGGGGTGGGGGAAGAAGAGGGGGTTGCTAGCACCTTTCCTACTGCAACTTTCAGAACCACGAACACCAAAAGTTGTCTCAGAAGGTTACCCAGAACAAGGAAGTTGGCACTACCCAGCCCTAGCAGGTCCTCTTTTCTGACCATATCACCACTTTTTGCTACGTGTTTGAGACGTTCTGTTTTCTTTTAGCTTCTCAGGCACTTACAGTGAGTCTTTCAATTCATGACTGACACTGCATTTGAGAATTATTTTAGAAATAGGTGTGGGCCGTTTTGACAGCAGTTCACAACTCACAGTATTGTATGTAAAAAACTAGTAAAATATTCAATTAACTTCTAAATGAAAGTGCAATTTATTTGTTGCTATAAAACTAGTTTAATGACTTATCTGTATTACTACTTCAATTCTACTACTCTTTGGGCTCCGCCATGCAACCAGTTTTTAATTCAATTAAGCATACTCATGTCCAAGCCCTGAGCAGCCAGCTTCTTCAGGAGAATGCTGTGGGAAATGGTGTCAAAAACCTTACAGAAATCTAGTTAGAGCATATCTACAGCTTTTCCCTCATCTACTTAGTGCATCGCCTTGTGGTAGAAGAAGATCAGGTCCATCAAGCAGGACCTGCCTTTGATAAACCCTTGCTGACTGGGCCTGATCACCTGGTTGACCTGTAAGTGCTGTGTGATGGCACTCAGGATAATCTGTTCCATTACCTTCCCTGGCAGTTCAGACTGACAGGCCGGTAGTTTCCTGGTTTCTCCTTCTGGGCCTTCTTGTAGATGGGTGTCACATTTGCTAGCTGCCAGTTGGCTGGGACCTGCCCTGATAGTCAGGACTGAAGATAAATGATGGAAAGAGGCTTGGTGAACACTTCTGCCAGCACCCTCCTTGGGTGGATCCCATCTAGTCCCATAGATTTGCATACATTTAAGTGGTTAAGCTGGTTCCTAACTACTTCCTTGTGGATTATGAGGGCTTTGCTCTGTTCCCTGTCCCTACCTACCAGCTCAGGGGGCTGGGTACCTGGGGAACTGCTGGTCTTGCTACTACAGACTGAGGCAAAGAAGGAATTAAGTGCCTCCGTCTTTTCCTCATCTCTTGTCACTATGTTTTCCCCCACAACCAATAAAGGATGGAGATTCTCCTTAGTCCTCCTTTTCTTGTTTACATATTAATGATTTTTTTTTTTTTTTTTAATTGTCTGTAACAGCAATAGCCAGACTGACTTCAGATTGGGCTTTGGCCCTTCTAATTTTGTCCCTGCACAGCATCACCATGCCCTTTTGTCCTCCTGAGTGGCCCTCTCCTTCTTTCTCAAGTCATAAAACCTCTTTTTCTTCATGAGCTCTAGCTGCAGCTCTCTGTTCAGCCAGGCCAGTTTCCACACTGGCTCATCTTTTGACGTGTGGGGATGGCCTGCTCCTGTGCCATTAGGATTTATTTCTTGAAGAGTTACCAGCCTTCCTGGACTCCTTTGCCTTTCAGGACTGCCTCCCAAGTGACTTCACCAGCCAGTCTCCTAAAGAGATCAAAGTCTGCCCTCTGGAAGTCCAGGATGATAGTTCTTCTAACCCCCTTCCTTACTTTTCCAAGAACTGGGAATTCAATTAATTCATGGTCTCTGTGCCTGAGACGACCTCCAGCCTTCACATCACCCACAAGTCCTTCTGTATTTACAAGCAAAAGGTCCAGAGGGGCACCGTCTCTAGTTGGCTCGCTCACCAGCTGTGTAGGGAAGTTGTCATCCCCATCCCCACACTCTAGAAATCTTGTAGACTGTTTCATCTCCACTGTGCTATACTTCCAGCAGACATCTGGCAAGTTGAAGTTCCCCCTAAGAACAAGGTCTAGTAATTGAGAGACTTCTCCTAGCTGTTTGTAGAATATTTTGTCTGCCTCTTCAGCTTGGTTAGGTTGTCTATAACAGACACCCACTAGGACATCTGCCTCATTGGCCTTCCCCCTGATTCTCACCCATAAACATTCAACCCTGTCATCTCCATTATTAATCTCAAGACAATCCAAACACTCCCTAACATACAGTGCTACCCCACCACCTCTCCTTCCTACCCTATCCCTTCTGAAGAGTTTGTAGCCATCCATTGCAGTGCTCCAGTCATGCAAGGCATCCCACCATGTTTCTGTGGCACCAACTATTTCATAGTTAGAATTTCTGCTGCAATGGCTTCCAGCTCCTCCGACTTGTTTCCTATACTGCTTACATTGGTGTGGATGCACTTCAGTTGGGCTAGAGATCATGCCACCTTTCTGGGTGGAGAAGCCCTAATTCTTGCATGACCATTCCCAGACACTTTTGTCATTTCTAACCCATCAATGTCCCTTGTACCTCTGCTGCCACATGGTCCTCCATCCCCTACCTCAACAGAAGCAGCAGAGTGATGGACCTTACTAGCACACCACCCTGTAACAATTGTTGAACCACACCCAGGCTTGTCTCTGTCAAGCCTAGTTTTATCTCTTTCCCCCTTCAAATCTAATTTAAAGCCTGCTAACTCCTGATCAAAGATACTTTTCCCCCTTAAAGACAAGTGAACACCTTCCATTGGCAGAAGGCCTAGTGTCTTGTAAAATGACTCATGATCAAAAAAAAAAAGAAAAAAAAAAAGAAAACAAAGTTCTGCTGAGGACACCAGGCTCCAAGCCAGATACTTGTTTTGTGGCTGTTCTTGTTCCTCACCTCATCAATCCCTGCAACTGGAGGGATAGATGAAAACACCACCTGTACTTCTGACCCCTTAACCAGTTGTCCCAAGGCCCTGAAGACTCTTTTGATTGCCCTCAGACTTTGTCTTGAAGCTTCATCACTGCCTACCTGAAAAATCACTAAAAGGTAATAGTCCAAGGGCTATAGGTTGGAAGCTTTCTCATTGTGTCCCTAATCTAGGCCCCAGAGAGGCATCAGACCTTCCTATGAAGTGGGTCTGGTCTGCATATTGTTCCCTCCAGAAGTGAGTCTCCCATGACAACTCTTCTTTTGTCGGAGGAAGCTATTTTAATGCAGGGTGCAGGCTGACATGACCTCAGCATCACCTCCAAGTCAGATGTACCATGTTCCTCATGGTATTGTTCAGATCAACCTGCAAAGCTTCACACCTATTGTGCACAGCACCTGGCAAGGTGGCAAAGTTCCTGAGAGGATGTGCTTGCTGTGCTGTGCAGGGACTTGTTGCCCCTTATCAGTGCTTTCAGGCAGATGGGGAGAGGATAGGGAAACGTATCCATTGAGTGTCCCTTCTGCCTTCTGATTCTGTCTCACGGAAGGTAAGGAGTGACTCCAGTAGGCTCTCTCCCTCATGTCCTTGTTCTGTGAAATATTGTCCTGGTTTTTGTTGGATAGTTAGTTTTCTTCACAGAAGCTGATATGGTGTTGTGTTTTGTATTTAGGATGAAGCTTTATACTTCCAAAACTTTATGTTTTGGAGTTAGGATGAAGCTTTTTTTTTTTTTTTTTTAACTATTATGTTGATAACACAACATTTTCTTAGATATTTCAGTGTTTACACAGCAGTTTACACAGCAGCAAGGTCTTTTTTTTTCCCCACACTGCTCCACCAAGGAGCAGGCTGGGGTTGCACAAGAAGGTAAGAAGGGACACAGCCAGGACCCAAAATGACCAAAGGAATATTCCATATCATAAGACAGTATGCTCAACAATAAAAATGAGAGGGTTTTTGCCGGGAAAGCTGCCATTGCTCAGGGACTAGCTGGGTTTCAGTCAGTTGGTGATGAGCAAATTAATTTTGCATCACTTGTTTTTTATTATTTTCTGTGCTTTTCCTTCCTTCCTTCCTTCCTTCCTTCCTTCCTTCCTTCCTTCCTTCCTTCCTTCCTTCCTTCCTTCCTTCCTTCCTTCCTTCCTTCCTATACTGTCCTTATCTCAACCCATGAATTCTCACATTTTTACCTTTTTGATTCCCTCCCCCATCATATCTGGGGAGAATGAGCAAGCAACTCCATGATGCATAGCTGCTTACCAGGGTTGAACTGGATAAATCTTTATGATTTGTTTCATTATTGCTGAAAAAAAATGGTTTTAGGAACTATCATGATCTTTCTCAGAAGAACATCTTCTATGTTGAAACCCTACACATCAGCAGATACCATGTGAGTTCCCTTTTTCCTGCAGTTATTGTAGAATGTTCTACTTCTTCTGTGTTAAAAACAATAAAACAACATCCTGAAAAAATCAGTTTGACTAGAAGAAGTAAAAGAGAAAGCTATTTCTTATCAGCAAAATAATCCCCAAAATTAAGGCCTAAGGGCAGAATCACAGATTTGCAGGAAAAGATATGGGAGGAAAGGAGGAAAAGATAGGGGAGGACTGGACTCTTTTCCAGTATTATGCTGACAGCAGGTCCGAGTCCAAAGTTAGATAAGGTTCCTTAAAGCCTTGCCCAGGTGTGTTCTGAGCATCTCAAGTGTGGAAGCTTAGGGCACCTGTTGCAGTGTTGAGCCACCGCGGGGTGTGATATTATTACTTTGTGCTGTGGGGCATCAGTTAGGAACATGAAAAAAAAAAATCAAACAGCCCTGTTTAGAGTAGTTGTACCCCCTACACGGAAGGGCTTCTGTCTCCCTTAGTCACTGAGGGGAGATATTTTTGCTACATTTTACTACTCCTCTTATCATAATCTGCACCTCTTCTTGGAGGAGAGGAAGAATTTCTGATGAACAAGTTACATCTAAGTAGCCATTAGTAGTAGCAAATTATTTGACTAAAATAATGCAATGCTGTGTTGTGGACAATCCTTACACAAAGTCACTGTTAACAAATGGGCTTTCACTGTCTGCTCTAACCATTATCTCAGTATGTTTCACTCAATAATGGTATTATTCTGATGTTTGCAAAAGCCTTCACCCACACATAGTAATAATTGCCCTGACACAGGCTGTGGTTTGGGAGGTTTGGGCTG